TCTGTCTCTTTAATCCTTTAGAATTCAGATCCAAAATGTGCCTCCTACCAAATACAGATTATTCCTCTGTTACCCGTATGTCTGATAATATGTCTGATATTTCTCCTATATATTTCTTGATCTTAATGGTATATATATGGTTTCCCCCACTATACTGTGATCACCACCTGGGTGTGTCAGCTGAAATCACTGACTGCCTAATGGTGCTGGTAGAAATCCTTGCCCTTTGTGGACAAAAATAGGATTTTTAATGAAGCCAGACACAATACTGGACAATGGCAATAAATCTTACTGTAAATCAGTTTGTACCAGATTAAACACATAAGCACACTGAAGTTGTCATCTGGGATGATGCTCTGAGGTTCAGAAAACCTGACCACAGGTTTGCTCTGTGGCATGTACCAGTATTTACAAGTGAGGACCACCAGCATCACTTCTGACAGGCAGGAGCCTGAGCACACAGCAGGTGTCAACCTGCCTGTGGCTCAAAAGCAATGTGAAGAACAAAGAATTGTGATAATTTTCCTTATTAGTGTACTGCATTGCTTTTGGCTCCTTAAATTGGTAGTTCTCCTAAATGCTGTCCTTTCCCCCCACCCCCAAATCAGGTTGAAATGTGTGTGTTGTATTAGCCAAAGTATCTTGAAAGAAGATACAAATGAAGGAACAAGTGCTCTTTAGGGGAAAATCCTTCTCCCTGGCCCCTAAAGCCATCTAGAGATAGACTTAAGAAACTAAGTCATCTGCATCATAAAACTTTCCAAGGCTGAAGCAGAAATGTCTCCCCCTCATTTAACCTTGGCAGTCACAAGCCAGCTTTTGATTTTCTCCACTTCACTTCAGGATGGCAGGAGTAATAACATGGCCACACAGCTAGAGACTGTCAGCCCAAACTTGGCATATCACCTTTCCAAACACCTTTGCATTAGGAAGAGACAGGCAGCTCCTAACTGGGTCATGCCGTCCATAGCTGTATCTATGCATCAGAGGCAGCTGTGAGGAAAAGCTCCCAGGGCCACCTGTGTTTCTTATGCCTTTCATTGGGTTGCTGTTCAATAAACCTTTTAAGTTGTCGCTGAAATTGTCAGTGTAAGTTCCAAGAGAATACTAATGTCTTCCACTGTATAGTGCAGTCAGATCTGTGGTCAAACTATAATGCTGGCTCCTCACAACCCCCCACCTATTCAGGTATTCATCCCTGCCCACCAGCACTGAGTCTTCCCCAACTTTGCTTTTCTTTCATCTGAGCTCTTTCACTTATTTGGAGTGACAGATCATGGGGGAACGAGTATTGTCCATATAAGGGATCAAGTGGACCTGGTGTGTATAGAGAAAAGAGCCTTGGGCTGGAAGTCAGGAGATCTAGATTCCAGACCCAGCTTTGCTACCAGCTAGCTTTGTGATCCTGGGCCAGTTATTTAAGTTCTCTGGATTTCACATATCCTGTGAGCCCTCTCCCACTTCCAAGATTCTCTTATTCTAAGTAGATATTTGGGCTCTTTTCACTCCAGAACTCTCCTTTCTTCTGTTCAGCTATTCTGGTGAATAAGTTTATGTAATGTAGCTTCTGACATTATAGTCATACAAACTCAGTATGTGTTTCTTTCTGCCTTTGAATTGTTCAGTCATAGACTATGCCAGAGAGTAAACTGGGGACCTGGCACAACTCAGATTCTGCCTGGACTTTTCAAAAAGCCAGATGGTACCACATTTTTGAGTGCCAATTGAGCCTGTTTATACAAATTCTTTCCTATCCCAATCTAGTAGAAATCACCCAATCTTGTGTCCATCTATTGTTCAGGCAGCTGGACCAGATTTGTACAAGAGGAATACATAGGCCTTGGAAAGCTAGGCCATCTCCAGGGTGATTTCGTGTTCCATGTAGACATCTTTCAGATTTGAAACTAGAATATCAACCATCCATCAGGAAGCATCATCAAATAGGGGAGGCCCAAATTCCAGTACCAACAACTGGTTTGCATGGAGAAGTGGAGTTCTGAGTGGGAGGGGAAATTGTTCTGTTTACTGTGATTTAATTATGACTTTGTGATTCAGAGATGTGGAAGCAAACATGAATGAGCCAACTCTCAGGACCAGCTGTCAAGCACTTGGCTTGTAATCTGCTGTCATCCCACTTGTCCCAAGTGCTCCCAGCTTGACAGCTCACCAGCTTGTTAAATGTCTGTTTCCTCCACTGCTCTTATTCACACCCTGGGGGCCTTATCTGAGGATCTTAGACTGTGAAAGAGCACCCCAGCTAGGCTGTTTGCTGGCTGGTAATATCCCAGTGGTTTGAGTTACAGGGACTTAGCAGCCCTGGTTTTTTCTCCTATAGTACAAATGGCATCAGAGCCCTCTCCGTGTGAGATGGAATATAATCTGTAACTGTTCTATCAAGAAATGGCATTTGTAATGAGGCTTTCCTGCTGGTGGCCTCCAGAGGTCCCTATTCTACAACTACTTAATACCACTTTAATGAGCTTTTCACTAAAAATTGCCAAGAGCTCCGACATCCTTGGATATTATTTAGTTAATGGTTTATTTAGAGGAAAGGGCCCATCTTCATGGAGAGAAGGATGGGCACTTGGAATATCAAGAAGAATTGGCAATTGGCACTCTGTCCTGAGAGAATGGAAGAACTGGGAAAGAGAAAAAGAGGATAGTTATCACTTATAACAGAAGTGTAGGATTGACTGAAATGCAGAAAAAGGAATGGTTAACAAAAAGCGTTCATGTTTATCTAATATAAAACAAGTTTTGATCTACTCCTCAGGACTTATTTCTGTGGACGCAGAGAGTAATTCAGTAGGCAATGAAAGCATCCAGTTTCTTCTGATCTGATTCTATTTTCACTGAGCAATCTTCTGAGGTGAATTCAGTTTCCTCAGTAGATATTCCTACTGAGAAGTATAATGACCAGCTGTTATCATTTTAGTTCTCTGAACAGTTACTATTCTCATAATAAATTGGCCTTCTGATTTCTTTTCCTTTCCTGGGCAGTTTAGTTAGCAGGAATCAGTTTTTCCTGGGCCAGCTGAGAAAATCAAGTGCTAAATTTCTAAATCTTAGAACTTCTACAGTCATATAGATTCCCTAACTCCCCTTTCAGCAGTTAACCACATCTCATCACAATAATATCTTTTGCTTAAGTCTTTCAGTTCCAAGGGATGTTGATTCCTCCTTCACCCTAACTCACATCCTGGGAGGAGGGGTGGTATGAACAGTGACTCAAAGCTGCAGGAAGAGGAATTGGCTCTTCCCATCCTCCTCAGCAGTCTAGTCTCCCTCAAGTCAGAGGCTTTGAACACTAAGGCGTAGCCCAGCTTGTGGCCAATGTACCTTGCCTCTACCCTTTGCCACACAAGATCCTCAACTATTTCTGTATACCTTCACCCCCATCTCCACCCTCAGATTCCAGAAAATACCAATAAATCATTCTTTGCACTACTAAGCCACCTCAGCAGTTATCTTGTGGCATTCTCTCATCTGAATATGAGAAAATTAAATTTAAAGAGATAAGTGACTCCCTCAGAGTCACACAGCAAGTTGGTAGTGGAGCCAGGACTAGAGCTCAGGTCTTGTGACTCCAAGTACAGTTTTCCTACTGCATCACCTTGCTCCTCTGCATTGCTCTGGTATTTGTATCTCAGCAGACAGTGACCTTGGTGGCAATGTGGTGAATATATGGAGGTGAGAGAGGTGAAGTGAAAGATTGATTGCAGAAAAAAATGACAAGAAAGAACTGAAGTTATAGGAATGAAATAAGCAGAGAAGGCACACTGACTCTTAAGTTCACATTGTTTCTGGATTAATCTAATCTGATGTTTATAGAGAACACTTCATTGCTAGTTGATTCATAAATAGAAATTAATCCTTTTCTTTCCTCTGAGTTTTACCTTGCATAAGTGGGCCTATAAGCAATAACATAATTTATAGATGTAGTCAGATCAGGTTTGAGGTTAAACGGGAGAGAAGGCAGTGGAAATTGCCTAGTCCTTCCTGGCTGGTTTCATGAGAACCCACTTCTCACATGATTGCTAGTGTTTAACAGTAAATGTCAGAGAAAGAGAAAATAGCAGTAAAGAAGAGATTTTCTGCTCAGGTCTGGGGAAAAAAAGGCTGCATACTGATCTAGTGAGATTGGGGCCACGCTTACCCAAGAGGCACAGTTGGAAAAGACAAAGTGGCTGGTAGAAAACCTGTAGGGAGGATGGGCCAGGAGCTCATCCATGCAGGTTCTTGACTGTCAGTCAGTAACTGAAGGGTGCAGCCTTAGTGTACTCAGACAAGCCTCCTTGTTCCCCACCTCCCCTTCCTTTTGCTGCCTGGTTATTTCCTTGACTTTTTGTTATCGTGTTCTTTCCAGTGGGAGGGAAGTGCCAAGGAGACTATAGTAATATCAGGGTTTCTTATTTTTTTAAGGCATTCGTCTGATATTAATTTATTAGAAAAGCTGCCACTACATGCTCTAGACTATTAGAACCCTATCCTCAAATATTATGTGGATTTTCACTTTTCAAAATTTTATTATGGTAAAATGTATATAATATAAAATGTACTATTTAAACCATTTTTAAGTGTACAAGTCAGGGGCATTAATTACATTCACAATGTTGTACAACCAGTACCACTATCTATTTCCAAAACTTTTCCATCACCCCAAACAGAAAATCTGTACCCGTTAACCACTAACTCCCCATTCCCCCTCCCCCCAGGCCCTGGTAACCTCTAATCCACATTCTTTCCCTATGAATCTAATATCAGGCATTCTTACTTAACTATATATGTGCCTCCTAAAGTGTAGCAGCAGTAGAAAAGAATGGAACCTTAGGTGAAAAGGAAAGGGATTATGGATTAAAAACTAAATTATTATTTTCTTAACTATAACTTAAATATACTTGAAAACCTTTTCTAATGACTGAGTAGTTTTATCCTCCCATTCAGAGACTGCAAAATGAAAGTCCCTCTGCTATGCTAATTCAGCATCTTTCTTCTTTCAGTTACCATGCAGCAAGTGGCCAGGACAGTGGCTAAAGTGGAACTCTCAGACCATGTGTGTGATGTGGTGTTTGCGCTCTTTGACTGTGATGGTGAGTGGGGCCCTCTGGAGGAAGGCGGGAAAGTGCCCTTGAAGCAGACATAGTTTCTAATGGAGACTTGCAGGCAGCTGCAGTGTACTGGCCTATACCTCTTCTGCTAACCCCTTTCCCACATTAATAGCTCCAGCCCTCAGCATCATGACATTGAGAAATAAAACCCCTGGTCCTGGTTTGTGTTTTCCATTTCTTCTTGTAATTCCAATTTGCTTGTAGGCCTAAATTAATTTATTCCGTAAGGATCTTAAAAACGGAAACAAAAATATTAGACCCATCTTGCTACTTAGTAGATTAGGAGCACTTGAGTATTTGAATGTCTCTAGGAAGAAGTGGTATTGATCTCTCCACCTCCGTGGTACATTTCAGTCATTCACATTCCATCTTAGCATTGCAGCTCCACACTGTGGCTGTTGTGTCTGTGACTGTTCTGTAGTTTAGCCCATTGCTAACTATGAACCAGGCACTGTGCTAAGCTGCTCATTTAATTCTCTGACACAGGAACTATTATTAACGACATTTTACAGATAAGGAAAACTGAGACTCAGAGAGGTTAAGTAATTTTCTCAGGATCACAGAGGTAGTAGTAGATGGCAAAACCAGGATTTGAACCAAAGCTGTGCTGCCTCCCTCCATCCTATATTACTTCCATTGCTCATCTCACAGACAGGATTCATTGTTCACCTTCTTCTAGGAAGCTAGGCTAATGGAATTCAAAACCAGCTCAAAAGCTCCCACCTATGTGAAACTTTCCATTTTGGTCCCAGCACAATGAATCACTCTGTTTTTTCCATTCCTTAACTTCGTTTGATTTGTCTGCATTACTACCTTACACTTTTATCTCTGTGTATGTGACTTAACTTCCGTACCAAATTGTGTGCTTTTTAAGGGTAGTCCTGTTCACCTTTGGACCACCCCCCCATAGGACCTCAGATAGTACTTTACACATAAAAGGTGTTCATTAACTTAAGCTATTTGAGTTATTAAGTTAAACTTGAGTTATTTAAATCTCCTGCCTGCACCCACACCCTAAATCTGAGTCAAAGGAAGCCCCAGGGCCAGGACATCCTCAGGTAGGGGTGGGTTACTCTCTAGAGCTGCCCTGTCCAATATGATACTGCTAGTCACTGTGGCTATTTAAATTTAAATTAATTAAAATTAAAAGCAATTTAGAACTCAGTTCCTCTGTCTCTCCAGCCACATATCAAGTGCTCAATAGTCACATGGGGCTAGTGGCTGCTGTATTGAATGGCACAAATGAAAAACATTTCCTTCATCGCAGAGAGTTCTAATGAACAGCACTGCTGTAAGAGATGTTAACTTCCCTCAGATTTGGTTTTTACTCTAATCACTTCTGGAGTTTGAGCTTTTCCCAAAAAACATTATTTTTATAATTTTTGAAGCAGTATCTTAGAGCTGGTCTGCGAAGTGAATATGGGAATAAAGGCAGCCACCCTCACAAGCTCCCCTCTTCTCCTAGGAAGTCCTGGGAAATGTTTTCCAGCCTTTTAGAAGGAGGCTCTGTCAATATCAACTTGAATCACCTTTAGATCATTTAACATCTCTTGGGCTTATTTTCTTAATCTACAGAAAAAGAAAGTATATATTAAATAAAAAGCCATTGTTATTTCTACCAGTACAAGATCTTATGTCAAAATGCCAGAGGACAGACAATTCCGATTTGCCAACAGACTTGTTCATCACAGAATTTAAAGTTGCTTTCACAGATCACACATGCACACAAATGACGGTCAGTCGTATTCCTGGTTCATAAGTAACAGAAGCTTTTCAGACTGATCCGCCCTGGCCTGAGGGAAGCAGAAAGCAAATGCCATAGTAGTTTGAGTGAAATGGCCTCAGGTTTTTTCATCTTAAGCTTCTTTTTATACAAAATATTAAGAATCTTGTTTAGACCTTTTTTGTTCTTTTAATTACATTCTTTTTTATATACTTTGTTTTTATTGAGGTCACATTGGTTTGTAACATTATATAAATTTCAGGTGTACATCATTATATTTCAACTTCTGTATGGACTACATTGTGTTCACCACCAAAAGTCCAGTTGTCAACCATCACCATACATGTTCCCCTTTTGCCCTCCCCCCTCCCCTTCCCCTCTGGTAACCACCAATCTGTTCTCTGTATCTATGTGTTTGTTTATCTTCCAGGTATGAGTGAAGTCACTCACTAATTTTCTCTCTTCGTCTTACTTATTTTGCTTAGCATAATACCTTTAATTACATTTTTAATAAGCCATGTTGTTGATTACTTTCAGCTTAGCCAGGCTACTTCTTAACTTTTTATATTGAAGTATAATATACATACAGAAGCTACAAATATCCTAAGTGTACAGCTTGATAAATTTTTAAAAACCAAACACACCTGTATAAGTCAGCATTATCCAGAAACATCACATAACCAGAACAAAGAACCCCCCCAGTGCTGCCTTCCAGTCACTTCCTCTCCCAAGGGTAGCCACTTTCCTGACTTCTAGTACCGTAGATTAGTTTTACCTGTTTTTTGTTTGTCTTAATCTTTTGTGTGTGTGTGTGTGAGGAAGATTGGCTCTGAGCTAATATGTGTTGCCAATCTTCCTCTTTTTGCTTGAGGAAGATTGTTGCTGAGCTAATATCTGTGCCAGTCTTCCTCTGTTTTATATGAGACACCACCAGAACATGGCCTGACGAGTGGTGCTAGGTCTGCACCCGGGATCCGAACCTACAAACCCTGGGCCGCCAAAGTGGAGCACACGAACTTAACCACTACAGGCCAGCCCTTGTTTGTCTTAATCTTGCTGTGAGGTATATCTGAGGTTTCCCATCCTCTCTTCAGCCAGAAAACATGGGCCAGTTTAGGTTTTCAGGTACTCTCTACAGAAGTGAACCATTTATTCCCTCTGTGTACTCTCCTGCCAGACCAATCATTAGTACAGGTCTGTTTGCTGATTTCCTGTTGTCTTATCACCACCAGTAATGACTGCCATTTTTTTAATCAGCAGATATTTACTCCTGGGCATTGGTCAAAAGATATCTGTCCTCTACTGTTGGAGTGGTAACTGTTCCATGTGGCTTGAGGGGGTACCCTTTGGTTAAACCAGATACTCCAAGTTCTCTTCCAGACCTGAGAGTCTGCCACTGAACAGGGTAGAATGCAAAAACTATGAGAAAATGCACTTAACCCAAAGCTAGATTTTTATTTTGGTTTTCACCATGTAAAGCCTGCATCCTCTCTCACCTGGCCTATTGTAACAGCCTCCTAACTGGCTCCCATACTCTAGTTGTGCCATTCTCCAGTCCATCCCCATATATCCAGCCAGAGAAATCTATCCAAAATGGAAATCTAACTGCATCTTATTCCCCTGCTCCCAGTCCTTTCCTGATGCTTCTCTGCCTAAAAGATAAAGTGTGAACCCTTTAACGAGAATACAAGATCCTTGAGGACCTGTCTCCTGCCTGCCTCTTTAGTTTACTTGCCCACCACTGTGTGTCCAGCAATATCTAATTATTTATAGTTCTCCAGCAGCCATGCTGCTTCCTGCCTGTGCCTTTGCTTATGATACTATCACTACCTAGAATGCCTCCCCCGTCTCTTTCCTCCTTGGTTGGCCAATTCCTGCTCATCCTTTGGGATTCAACTTAGGAGTCCCTCAAAGAAGCCTTTACTGATCCATACTTACACCACCCCAAGCTTGGGTAAGATATTCTTCCTCCCCTAACATCCTCTGGCATTTTCCCCGTCATGGCATTTACCAAACTGGTGAAATAGTGTATTTGTCTCTCCCAAAACCGGGGAGTATTTCAAGGGACAAAATCTTGTTTATCTCTTTATTCTCGACACCTAGCACATGATCTGACAGACAATATAATCTCAGTCGATTTTTGTCACACTGCAGTGAACTATCATTGAGTTGCAGTCAGAAAGATCAAACCAGTTTATTTTAGGCCAAGAGGACTGAATTTGGATGTGAGAGAGCACTGGGTTTTAGAACCCATATTGTGCGAGCAATGGAATTTTCTCAGTCTTTGTTGTTGCAAGGTCTTCACTTATCCTTGTTGTGTTTGTCTTCCTCTAGGCAATGGGGAGCTGAGCAATAAGGAATTTGTTTCCATCATGAAGCAACGGCTGATGAGAGGCCTGGAGAAGCCCAAAGACATGGGCTTCACCCGCCTAATGCAGGCTATGTGGAAATGTGCACAGGAAACTGCCTGGGACTTCGCTTTGCCTAAACAGTAACCCAAAACTGCAAGATGGGCCACCTCTCCACCCCAGGCACACTGGCCCCTTGAAAAGAGCCTTCACACAGCCCTTCCTGCTGCTGCTTCTGGAAGTAGTGTCCCCTTCCTCCTGAGAATGATCTCAGGATTCAACCAGTTTCCCTCTCCACCCTTCCATGTCCCAGTGTTCTGCTAGGCTCTGATTCTGCCCAATGATTATCCCCATAGGTTCTCAAAAACATGAACAAATCCTAAAAGGTCAGACCTTTGGCACCTTCCAACAACACTACCCATTCAAGTGGATAGTGTTATGGATAAGGAATGCAGGGAATCATCCACATACCTGCCAACCCTGGGAAACATGCCATTGTCAAGTCATCTTTGCTGTGGATTTATATTAAGAATATTCCTTGCTTTTCCTCCTGCTGGTGTTTTTAAGCTACAAGTTGGCAAAACCTCTGGCAGGCAAAAGGAAGTTTGTGATGAATGATAATGAGGATGATCCAGGCACCCTGAACTGGTGGGAAGCCTAGCCAGAGAGGAAGGATCTGTGTCAATCCCCAGGGTGGTTCTGAGGCCTGCTCCAGGAAGGTGATGTGCACGGTGGGAACAGAGCATGATTCAGAATTTAAAGCAGCTGCTTCACAGCTCTCTCTAATCCCTTCTTTTCCTTTCAGGCTCCCTAAGAGGGAGACTCCCTAAGACTCCACCACAACTCTGTGCTTAACAAGCAGCAGTAATTAAGTTCATGTTCTCTGCAAGTGCCATTTCCCCTCCAGGAGTGTGTCTCTGAGGCTGGGGCCTGACTCAGAGCCTATCTACCTTCTGTCTTAAACACTTGCAGAATGTCACTTTAATTATAACAGTTTGCAGTAACCCCCCCCCCCCCAAAGGCTCTTGTCTCCTTTATTTTAGGATGCCCTGGGGCCCTTTTCATTTGACTTCTCCACTGGGTTTCAGATCTGACTAGTAGCAGACCTGTTTTCTTTCTACCAGAATCTGGTTCTTCCTTTTGAAAGGCAACTTTATGCACAAACAAAAAGTGAGGGCATTTGGAGGTTAGTGGTGGCAGTGTCCCAGCACAGTTTGGATAGCATTTCATCCTGGGCCAGGGTACACAGTCCCTGATTACTCATGCCCCATGATAAGGAACGAAGATAGGGTGGTGGAGTATAGGAGGAATCATCTAGTATGGTGGACCTAAATGTTAAGAACCATAGCAACCAGTTTTATATATGGACTCAACCTTGCCACTAAATCAGTGTGGCCTTGAGCAAGCAAGTAATTTCCCATCTCTTTCCTCATGTGTAAAATGACAGGTAGGGTTGAGCTTAATAGTCTCTAAGGCATCTTCCAGGTCCAAAAGCCTCTCCTTCAGCTCTCCTCCAGAATTCCTACAGCCTCCAGAAGAACCAGGTAATGCCCCCTGGCATGACAGAGGCTCAAGTCTGATGTAAGAGAACTAACACACCAAAATCCAGTGCTTCCTGCAAGTCCTGGCAGTTGGTAAGGAGTGCTTATCAGCCAGAGAAGAGCAGAGGCCTGGGTCTGCACCTGTGGCTCCACAAGAACAGTACCAATCCCCGCATTTTCTCTAAAACAACTGAACAACCTCCTTCTAGCATCCTTTCTGGATGCAGATTAGGTATCTCTCAAAGGAGTTTGCCTTATCTATCTCCCACCCTGTCCTCTCAGGTATGTATGAAGTGTAACCTTTGCCTTGCTCATTGTCCCAGGGCTGAGACATCAGCAAGATGTGCACTTTTCTTAAATTTGTCCCAGAATCCCAAGATCACTTTTTCCTGATCCTCATTTCTCCAGCCTGAAAGAGAAGTCCCATTCACAGCTTCCATGGGACATTCATTCCCCTATAAGAAGAGATCTGCTGATTGGCCTGGGTTTTCTGAAGCTGAAAACCAGAGCATAGCAGGAGAGGGTAAGGATCTCACCTGCAACATCCTTGGTCAAGGCACCTATCACAGGTACATGCAACTCCGACTGAACTCCATTAGCTCCTAGGAGTGCCCGGGGAAACAGAGGAGGAACAGGTGCTCAAGAAGACAGGCACAACAGGGTAAATATGTAGGTGAGGTACAAGCTAAGTCACCCACAAGAGGTCAGGGTCCCCCAAGAAGTCCTTTAGCAAAGTGGCCTATGAGGAGGCTGAGAGGATTTTAGTAGGCAGAATTTAGGGATAGGCTGGGTGCATTTGGGAATACAAAAGTCTGATTTGTGCTTCTCTTTCTATTCAAATTGTCTCTTCTACCTAGATAAAATAACCTTCCCCTCTTCCTTCAAGACTCAGCTCAAACTGCCCCCCTCCTTAAGAAGCCCTCCTTGATCGTCTTCCAGACAAGACTAGTGCCCTTCCTTTGGGACCGTTTGCCCACCCATAATGAAACAGCTGTAATTTGATGTAATTTTTGTGAGATTGTCACCCACAAAGTTCAGACCTAAAGCAGTGACATGATCAAAGAAACAGTCTACCACCAAAAGCTAATTTAACAATAATTCTTGGACAATGAAAAAGTCATACTAGCAGTACCTCAGTAAATTCCTCCCACACACTCACAGCCATTCTCTACTTCTGATGTCATTGTTCTCTACTTCTTTAAAACAAAAATAACTCTTTCTCCTGTTCTAGACCTTAGGCTTTGGGGAGGGAAAGAAACTCAGAGGGGTCAGGCTGCTAGGCTTCCTCACCTAGGGCTCAGCATCATCCACAAGGATAAGCAGGGAGAACCTGAAGAGGGAGTTACTAAAGAAAAGGGGCTTAAGAACATGCACAGTCCTCAAAAATGATCATTCTGATAGTTTTTAGTGTCCCACCTAGTTTTAGCTCTGATTGGAGCATATACACGCTAGAACTGAATCAGACTCTGAGACAAAGGAGAGGTCCAGGTAACAACTGCTACTAGACAAGGAGGAAGGCACAGAAGCATGGTCCCCTAGCCAGAGCATCTTCTCCAAGCCCCACAGCCCAAGCAGGTTATGTGCTTCTGACAAGCAGCTCATGAAAGGAAGGAGCAGAGTCAGAGTTTAGCTTTCAGGCTTCAGGTGCCACCTGCTGGCAAGAAGGCTCCTCGCAGGGACTCACTGGCCTGGAGCAGGGGAGGGGAGGCTGCCAGCCTAGCCCCAGCCCTGCTCTGAAGAATAGGGCTCCCAAGGACCTGAGTGGCATAGGGCAGGCCGAGGTGGGATGAACAGCCAGAGATGGACCACAACCATGAAGAGAGACACTGTGGATATAACTATAATCGAGAGGAGGAGAGGAGCAATGCTTATGTATTGTTCTCTGTGGCTCCAGAATGGCAATTTTTACCAGCAAGTGAGAGGGTATGAGTCACTCTGTTCACTCTACAACTCTTTACTGATCACCTACTGTGTGCCAGGCACTGAACAAGGTCTTGAAGGAATTTGCATTCTAGTGAAGAAAACAGAAAAGAAGCAATACGGTTAGATACAGGCTGCTGGGAGAGCACTTAGACTAACAGAAAGGCCATCTAATCCAGATTTGGAAGTTCAAGGCAGGCTTGCAGAGGAAATGATTTTTTTTTAATTAAAAAATGAGACCTGAGAGTTGAGTAGGAGTTAGCAAAGGGGGAATGAGGAGTGTGCAGGCAGAGGGTACCAAGTTTGCAAAGGTCCAAAGGTCAGAAAAGCGTGTTTCATTCTGGGAACTGAAGTTCTAGGGAGTATCAGTACAGACTGGGGAGTGACTTGGTGACCCAAGAATTAATTAAGATGGCAGTCATTCACAAAAAATAAAAGTAAAAAGTACATTTGGATATTTTAAAACACACGTAACTCATAGGTTATAGAAAAAATCATGGAAATTTTAAAATGCTTAGAACTGAATATGATAATGAAAATATGAGATATTAAAACTTGTGGGACACAGCTACAGGGAAACATAAACTTCTTAACAACTTCTATACTTATTTACAGAAGATGAGCTTATTATTAATTAATAAGCTAAGCATCTGCCTCATAAAGTTGGAAAAAGAACATATTAAAACCCAAACAAAAACATAACAGCAAAAATAAATAAGAAATGTAAAAATGTATATAACTAGATACTACAGCAATTTAAAAAATAATATTGTGAACAACTTTATGCCAATAAATTTGAAATAGTTTTTTAGAAAATATAACTTACCAGACACAAGAAAAAATTAAAAATCTGAATAGACTACATAATACATTGAATCAGTAGTTAAAAACCTACTTATGACAAAAAGTACCAAACCCAGATTTATATGAGGGATAAAGAAAATAAGACCTGTCAGCCCCAATAAGGAGTGTGGACTTCTATCTTACTGGTAATTAGGAGCAATGGGGTTTTAAGCCGGAAAATGACATAATGAGCTTTACATTTTAGAATGATGACTCTGCCTGCAATGCCACAGATGGATTGGAGTGGGATCCAGGTTGGAGACTGCTATAATAACAGGTGTTGGAAGCCAGGATTAGGGGAGTGGCTGCAGAGTTGGAGAGTCACTAACCAACTTGGGAGATGTTTAGGTCAGCCCTGCGGGGTAAGGGTGAGGGCATAGAAACTGAAGGATGGGAAGAGACAGGGAATAAGGATGAAACCCAGATTTCTGTTTGGGTAACTAGGTGTATGGTAGTGCTCTTCAGTGGGATTGGGAGGCTGAGAGAACCAGGTTTGGATGGGAGATGATGAGGCAATCTTTTGACATGTTGAGGTGCCTGAGAAAAATCCCAGTAGGAGTATCTAGTAGGTAGTTAGATGTGAGTCTGGACACAGGCAAGGAGTCTAGGGTGGAGATATGGTTTGGGAATCTCCTAAAAAAACCTGAACTCAGGCCAGTCCTGGTGGCCTAGTGGTTGAGTTCAACACGCTCCGCTTCAGTGGCCCAGGTTTGCTTCCGGGCGGGAACCTACCCCACTCGTCTGTTAGCAGCCATGCTGTGGTGGTGGCTCACATAAAAGGAAAAAAGGGGAAGATTGGCAAGGGATGTTAGCTCAGGGCGAATTTTCCTTAGCCCAAAAAAAACAAAAAACCTAGGCTCTCCCAATTTCAAGGCCAACTAACTATGAACACATGAAGTCTGAATCAGTTTCCTAAAACCAGCTCCATCTCTTCCCCAAGGGAAGCTGGGAATAGAGACCACAAGTGAAAAGACTGAATCAAAGAACCTGTACAAGTTTGTTAGAAAAGGCTGCAAGTGCCCTGTGCCCTTATCTGTCCAGCCTCCAGCTCTGGCCCTCCCCAGATGTCAAGGTCTCCTCTTCCTCCTCTAGGTAGAAGGAAACAGAGCAAGGGACTGAAGTAGAGATCCAGGGATGCTAAGGGGAAATATTCATGTGTTCACTCAACAAATAATTTATTGAAGCTCAAATTGAAAATTCAATTATCAGTCATTCACATTCTTGGGTGAATTTTCATCATCTTCAATGTGAGGTTTAGGTTTTTGTTTTTTCTTTAATAGGTAAACATTCACATGTTTCCAAAATCAAACACAAAAAAGGCATACATTGGAAAGCCTCATTCCCCACCATTCCCACAGCTGCATGGTATTCTATTGTATATTACTGCTTAATCAATAAGGGTAGTTTCTTCAGGAAGAGATTTTGGAGCCTGGAGCTCTCTGAAAGGGAGGTCTTGGCAGGTCGCATTTGGAGGCAGCAGGGGACACTGGGGAGCCAGAGAGCAAAAGAGCAAAGGACAGGAGCGGAGGGCACTCCACTGGCTTGGCAATTCTTCCTGAAGCCTTAGGTAGGAATTTATTCCCCTGGCTAGCTCAGGGAAACTCTGGATAAACTGTTTGGGGAGAGAAAAACCTTCCTCTGGGATTCATTTATTCTATTCTTTTAACAAATATATATTGAGCCACTATGAGGTATCAGGCCTTGTGCTCAGGCCACAGGGAACATGAGAGCAAGATCTCCATCTTGGTTTAGCTGGAGACTGCACGTAAACACATTCACAAGCAAAAGACACCAACTGTGCAGGGCAGTGAAGATGGGTGCCCATGGAGGGGCCAGGCTTAAGTGCTATGGAAATTCAAAGCAGGGAGAGCTCGTGGAGGAGAAGGCCCTTTCTCAGCCTCAGACCCTGGCTCAGATGTCATCTACCCCAGGAAGCCTTTCCAATTTTACACACAACCAGCAGCTCCCTTTTCTGAGCCTCCTTGAGCTTACATACAATCCCACTGTTGTACGTACCACACTGTCCTCTAATTCTTTTACTAGACTGAGCTCCCTGACATCAGGTTCTGTCCTTTATTCATGGTGCATCTCTGAATCCCTAAAGTTCTGCAGAGTGCCTGGCTTTCAGTATAGACAACTGATGAAATTAATTCTGTCTCTTCACTGAGGAGATAGAGTTTAAGCTGAGCCCTGAAGACGTTAGACTTGGATAGATGGAAAAGATTATTAAGGAGGACAGGCAGATAGACAGGAGCAAGGTGAAACGTATCTTAGTAGAGATGGGGTGGGTACAATGGGAGATTAAAGCATGTTAAGGTCAGGCTGAATTCTTGGTGTCCCCAGAGAAGAGAACTCTGGCTGCTGGTGGTCACCTAATGCAAGGGCAGTTTCAGCTCTAGGAGCAAAATGAGACGTTGAGATTTATTTGGAGAATCATTTTCCCAGTGACTTTTGGATATCTGTGGAGACAATTAAGGATTTTGTCTCTCTTTTTAAGCCTCATCCTCCCACACATACCATGATTCCAGCTAGTCAGAATAGAAGTTTCTGATTTTTTCCTTAGATCAATATCATGACATTTTGATTTCAAGAACTCTGAGGGAGAAACTGTAATTTCAGTCAGCCCTGGCATACAAGATCCATTTTTAAACAAAATTTATAGACCAAGGGCTATAATGTTTAACATGTACTGAGCAGGAATGTGCCTCTCTTCCTGGCCTTTGGACTGAGAAAGTACAAAGACCATAGAAAGTCAAATTGCCTCAGGACAAAAAACAAGAGACCCCATTTGACTGAGATCTATAAGAAAGGTAGGGAGTGATAATATGGAGGCTGATTAGACCAGCATTCAGGCTCAGTCTGTGATCCCTTCTGAAACAACAAAGCCTTTCTGAAATAAAACAGTTCAGAGAAAGAGTGCAGCAGCAGAGGGGAGGGAAGGAGAAGACTGCAAAAATCAGGCATAAAGAGGTCCTACCACACACACTCCACTGGCCTCTCCAGATCCTTACTGCTCCAGACCTTGCCAACCAAGCCAAATTACTGACTGCAGACTCAACATTTAAATAAGATTGTGTCATTTATATGCATTGCATGAAAGGAGAGGAGGGCTTACCAGCCAATAGCCAGGAGATCACAGTCCAGTTCCTTAACACAACAAAAGTACAGGCCTTCTTTCATACATGAGTACCCTGTTCACAAAGTGAAGTACCTGTGGTCAGCCCCAGAAGAGGAGTCTTATGATACTCAGGAAATGGAAGAGGAGACCTCATGATATTTAGCAGGAGAGGGGAAGAGGGACACTGCAGTCCTAGGTCAACAAACCTCAGAGAGGCTACTTAAAAGGCGTCCAAGTATTTATCCATTAACACATACTAAGGACCTATCAATTTGTGAAGACCTTAACTTCCTCTAAGTATAGAGCTGTATTATTAGGGAGGGGCTGATTTCTTCACCACCACCTCCCCCCCAGGATATTCTAACAGGCCAGCTTGGAGTCATAAAAGTTTGCACTGGGAAGGGAACAGTGGGAATGGAAAGGAAGGTTGGATGTGAAGAAATTTCCAAGGAGTGAGCATGTAACCAAGAAGGCCATGGGCTTGCTTCTTATTACTCTAAAAAAGTAAAAGCTACCTAAAAAGAACTTCCTCATGTTCCCACTTCCAAATCTACCAGCTGGCCCACAGTACACCTAGCCACACTGCCTTCCCTCCTGAAAATCAATGAGCTGTCCATGCAGCTATCCAAAGCCATCCTCTCACTTGTGCCACAGATCCCGTCTACTCCTGTAAATTGTCTCCTCTCTTTCCTTAATTACCAAAATTTCTTGGCCAATTAAATATTACAGAATGCTATAATATATCCCATCTTAAAGGAAAAAAACACAAAACTTACCCACATCCCTCTCCACTACCAATCCATTTCTTCCTCATTCTCTTAAATCCATTCCTGTCAGGCTTCCACCTCTACTATCCACTGAGAGCAAACTTGTCGAGTTCACCACTGACCTCCAAATTGTAAAACCCATTGGCCACTTCTCAGTCCTCACACTGCTTTGCCAGTGTTTGGCCCCTCCCTCCCTCTTGAAACATTTGCTTTCTTCAGCTTCTGAGATAACTCATTTTCTTACGTTACAAGCTACTTCTTCATTCTCCCTTCTTGGATTCTTCTCTTCCAGATGCCTAAATATTGGGGTGTCACAGGGCTCAGTAATCAGACTTCTACTCTTCCCTATCTACACTCACTTTGGTGCATTTAGTTCCATAGCTTTAAATACCATTTGTATTCTTTTGCCCATCTAGCCCCACAGCTTTAAATATCATTTATATATGCTGATAATTTCCAAAATTATATTTCCAGCCCCACCTTCTTCCCTAAACAGTACATATATACAGCTTCCTACTCTACATCTCCACTTGACTCTGAAAGGCATCACAAACTTAACACACTCTAAATCAAACATTTAATATTCCCCCACTAAACTGCTCTTCTCACAGGCTTCCTCCAGTTTCCCCAGTTTTGGCAAATGGAAACTCTGTTCTTCCACTTAAATCAGGCCAAAAATCTTGGAATCATCCTTGACTACTCTTTCTCTCACATCCCTCATCCAACACATCTGCAAAATTGTTTTGACTGTACCTTCAAAATATATCCAGAATTCTACTGCTTCACAAAACTTCCACCATTGCCCTTATCCAAGTTACCATTAATTCTCACCTGGATTATAATAGTAGCCTTCTAACTCTCACCTGTAGTAGCCTCTTACCAAATCTCACTTGAGAGGCCAAGTAATGTAAGGACTGAGAAATGACGAATGGATTTGGTGATGTGGGTCATTGGTAACCTTGACAAGATTGCTTCACTGGAGTGCTGGGTGTGAAAGGCTGACAGAACTGGATTCCACTCTATAGTGAAATCCTACATGCTCCCTATAGTGTATTCTCCTTGTTGATCCTGTAATAACTCACCAAGAAAATTCCCGTTTCAGAGCCCTTGTATCTGCTCTTCCTTCTTCCTGGACCACCCTTCCTCCAGATAGTCACATCTGGAATACCTGCTCTCCCTCCTGAATTCAGATTTGTTAAAGTGACAGCTTCTGAGAGAAGATTTCTCATATCAAGCGATTTAAAATAGCACCTCCCACTCTATCTTTTCTTAATTTTTCTTCACAATATTTACCACTATCTGAATATCTCTCTCTATCGGATGTCTCCCCACCCCCTTGCACACACTAGAATGTAAGCTCGATGAGGGCAGGGGCTTTGTTTGGTTCACCACTGTATACCTAGCCTGGCAAATAGTGGGTACTCAATAAATATCTGTTGAATGAATAAATAAATGACCTTCATCTCAAACGCACAGTTACTACCAAGAACGTGCAAGCATACTCAACTTTAAGACCTCCGAATATGACCCACAGGGCTCCAGGAATGTGGGCATGCACCCTTATTAACACCTCTCTTATACGTCCCCGTCTTCGAAGACATACGGTAGCGCTTCCGCCCTCGCTCGAATCTCACTCAAAACTCGGAAAAGGAGGGGCGAAGGGTTTATGTCATCATTCTGCGCCCGCCTGCCCGCGACGCGCCGGCCGCTGGCGCAGCCCTTCGCTCGCCCGGCCTCCCCCTCCCTGGTTCCGCGCTCTGGTTCCGCCATGGAATCCAACAAAGATGAAGCCGAGCGCTGTATTAGCATCGCCCTCAAGGCCATCCAGAGCAGCCAGCCCGAGCGGGCGCTCCGCTTCTTGGAGAAGGCGCAACGGCTGTACCCGACGCAGCGAGTTCGCAGTGAGTGTGAGGTGCCGGAGAGACAGAAGGGACGTTGGAACTGATGGGGGGAATACGGGAACGGACCGACGGGAGCAGTTGAAGGAGGGGGAGGGGTGGCGAGGCGCGGCTACGCCTGCGCACTGAGACGCGCGGTGGTCGCTGGGAGGTGTAGTCTTTCGCTCCCACGCCCCTCCTGGAATGCTGGACGCCTGACGACAGGGGCGACCACGATTTCCAGTTTTCCGGGTACTTGCGGAACCCTCTGAGATTTGGAGTTCCCAAGAATGAGAGGCGCTGGCAGACGGGACGAAAGGAGCTTACCTGGAAGCGAAATCGAACTACTTTTCCCAAGGGGCCATTCGGTGGTCCAGTAGCCGGCCTGGGAAATATTATAGTTAAGGAAAATAAACATAACTCATCTGACGGAGGGAGTGGGTTCTAGAGAGGGAAAGATTTTTGACCTTTGGACGGCTTGGAAAGGCGTCTCCATATCTTCACTCCCTCGCACGTCTCAGGACAAGGACCAGGGACCACCTTCCCAAAACTAGAGCCTGTCTTTTCCCCCGTTCCACACCACCACCTTGGACGGTCTGTCTTGAGACCGGGCTCCTCACTCGCTCCTGGATCCTCTTCACCCGCTTCTGAGATTCAGAGCTTATGGCCTTGGAGACGCTGGCCTCAGCCACCCCCACCCACCCTCGCCCCCAAGAGTCCATCAGTGGCCGGCCATATGGACGGCTGGACAGCACCAGGCTGCTCGGCGGCCCTGGACTGAGGCTGCCAAACCGGGGAGGGAATAGTAAGGTTGTCTCTACTACTCATCATCCCGCTCTACCCAGGAACCCTTTTTTTCTTTAACCTAAATCTTCAAAGAAGTTTTTCAATCCAAACTGGAGAGGGGAAAGAGGTAGTCCACTAAAGATACAGAGTTTGGGGCCGGCCTGGTGGCGCAGCGTTAAGTGCCCACATTCCGCTTCAGCGGCCTGGGAATTGCCGGTTCAGATCCCGGGTGCGGACGTGGCACCGCTTGGCAAGCCATGCTGTGGTAGGCATCCCGCATATAAAGTAGAGGAAGATGGGCATGGATGTTAGCTCAGGGCCGGTCTTCCTCAGAAAAAAGAGGAGGATTGGCAGCAGTTAGCTCAGGGCTAATCTTCCTCACAAAAAAAAAAAAAAAGATACAGAGTTTGTGCCTGCAATTACCACTTAGTAAACTGTCTGGCATATAGCAGGTACTCAGAATCAGAACACCTGGGTTCTCGTCCTGACTCATGTGATGTTTCTGAGCTTGGATTTCCTCATCTGGAATATTGAGGGCACAGATAATGTGAATAACAATAATACCCATAAGCGTTTTCAGTTTAGAAAGCTCTTTCTAATGCATTTTCTAACTTGAGCCTGTATCAGGGAGGAAGAGCAAAGATCGTTATCTTTGTCCGTAGATGAGGAAGTATTCAGAGGCATGGGACTTGCCCAAGATTACACAGCTAGAAATTGGAAAGTTCTGTGATTCTATAATATTTATGAAAGGAATGAAATGAAGTTGAAGAGTAGCAGTCAGCCTCCTAACCTTCCTTGCCCACATTGTGAAATCAACAAGGGGAACACTGGCGAAAGAGGCGGCCTAGAATACCTGGATTTTCCTCTCTCCTGACTCTGCAGGTTGATCTTTGGCCTATTTGCCTTCTCTTGGAGAGGGTTTCAGTCTGTATTTGCCAGAACTCCTGAGATAACCTGCTCAAGGAGCTGCTTTATGAAATAAATCACACTCTGTAAGAGGGGGGCTTGGTAGGGTGGAGGACTTCCAGCTCTCAGAATTCTGTCTGACTCTGATCCTTCGGGAGGCTCAGGAGCAGGTAGCCAAAAAAGGGTGGTAACAACGTGGCCTGTGGAGATCTTCCTGTCAGCAGGCCTCCTGGGGCAGTTCAAGGGCTTGGACAGATGTCCTTCCTGGGACTCAAGCACTGGAATTTGCTCAGGCAGAGGAGTCACCTGCTGCATATTTGTCATATTCGCGTTGTTCTAGAACGAGTATAGGTCTCATTGCCTCTCTGTAAACTTCCCACCTTGTGCCATCTGCAGCCCTGCACTGAGCTGACAAGGACCTGGGGTTAATTTAGGCCTGGGATAGGGAAATCTTGGTTAAAAAAATATTAGGTAACTGTCTACACTTGATATTTGAGGTTTGCGCTCATTCCAGATGCTCATTCAATGCAACACTTTTTGTTTTGTTTTGTTTGCAAAGTCCTCTGCTTGGCGCTAAGTGGTATAGCAGGATTGGTAAGACATGATCCTTCATGTCGAGGAGCTTACGGTCTAGTGAAGGAGACAAAGTTACAGTAAAAATAATATTGCAAGCCATAAAACAATAACTGTGATTAAATAAAAATTAAGCACAGTGTTAGATGCTGAGGACTTAAGGATTGATGTGAAAAATCCAGTCCCTGCCCCCCATGGGTTCACAGTCTGGTGAGGTGGAGGGAAGTGCTGAGGGTAGGGAGCATGGAGGATAATCTCCTCAACATTAAATTATTGGCGGTATAGTGAGTGCTGTAGCAAGGACATAAAAATAATGGTAGGTCACAGTGAGGGAAGCCTTCAGGGAGTGAGACAGGAGACAGCATTTGAACTGCACTTCCCAGGAAGGTAAGAGTCTCAGAGAAGGGCATACTGGGAAAAAGACCTGGAGGCTGAAAGCTGTAAGAGGTTTGGGGGAAGGGATTGAGTGTAGCAAGATTTGGAGGCTGTGGAGGTGGTAATTTGAGTATAGAGAGGATTAAGGTTGGAAAGTAGAATGGGGCCAGATTGTGGAAATCTTTTCCTGCCGGACAGTGATATTTTTACTTTATTCTGTAGTTAGTGAAAAAAACCGTTGAAGTTTGGGATAAGATAAGGGTAATGTTCTTAAAAGAGAATATCATGAAGGGTTAATGAGAGGGAAGAGAGACTCAAGGCAGAAACTAGTTGGGAGATAATCCCGTTGAGTAGGTTAGGAGTTATGAGGGCCTGACATAAGGCAATAGGGATGAGGATGAAGTCATTGGAGAGGAAGTAGTACCAGGCCCTCTGTGAGAGAGTGATGCTGAGGAAAAATGGGGACTCAGAATCTAAGCGTGTGTGACCAGGAAGAAACCAAGGCTGAAGAACTTGGGTAGGAACAGATGGGCAGAGCACAAGGTGCTGGTGGGTTGTTCCAAAGAAGCTGTCAGCTTGGAGGTTCCAGCTGAAAGTCTGATAACTTCAGTCTGATGGAGCTCATTGGAGTTGTGCCTGGCTGAGGTCACTGTGGGAAAGTGTGAAACATGTAGGAGAGGATGCTGCAGGCACAACCATGGGCCACAGCTGCCCTTAGCCAATGGGCAAAGACAGAGGAAGCAACAGACTGAGATGGAGCAACAGCAGGAAGAGGCAGTCCCAGGAGAGGGCAGTGGCTGGGTAGCCATGGAGCAGTGTGTCAAGGAGGTAGTAAGCAGCACTGTCAGTTGCTGCACAGGCCTCCTGGGAAAAGGACAATTCAAGAAATGCAAGGGGAAGGATCAAGAGCGTGGGTGGAGGATTGGTCTTGGAGAAATGGAACGACAGACAGAGGGGAGAATTAGGGGTGAATGGAGGCTCAGAGAAGCCTTAAAGTGTTGAGGAACCTCACAGTACAAAGGATGTGAGGGGACTTAAAACTTGTGCTGCAGGATGTGGGATGGGGAGGCACCAAGGGCTGGACAGTTATAATGTGGAGCAGTAGCTGGGCCCTGTGCTGGGAAGTCACAGGGCAGGGGTAGTGAAGCCAGTCAGTCCCTTTCTGGGATTTTCTGTTCAGCTCCTGGCAGCTTGGTAGCCATTGGCTTTGCCTGGGGCTTAGCAACAATAGTGGAAAGTACCAGGTTTTCCAGGGAGCCGATGAGAACATCTGTAGGCCTCAGTTTCCCAAGCATACAAAGAGAGGGTTGGCCACGGAGGTCAGGTTGGCTGCCTAAGATTCTTTAATAGCACATGGCAGAAGAGACTGACATAGAGTTCAGAACGCGTAGCTGCTAATATCATAACCTGGGTTGATGAACTGGCTGGCCACAGCAGCAGGCTTGGTGGGGAGGTGGGAGGACCCAAGGTGGTGGGGGCCAGGGAGCTCCAAGGCTTAAGAGGGCCAAGTCTCAGCACTCTGCAGGCCTCGGACCCAGTTGTAACCGTGAGATTTCAGGCCATTCCAGACTCCAGGTCCATGTCAAAGGCTGCCTAAGGTTCCATGAAATGGCTGGCTCTGGGATCCAGGCTAAGTCAGGAAGGCCAAGCTAAGAAGGCCAGTACATGGGAGGGGGGAAGATTGGTTGCCGGGAGATTGTGACATTCAAGATCTAGGAGTGAGAGATGTTCTAGTATTGGCAAGGTCTGGGATGGGACTGTCCCTTTAAGTCAGTCAGACTTTATGAGGCCCACTGTGTACTCAATCCCTCCATTCACCTTATCTCACTGAATCTTATTTACCACTCAGAAGAACCCTGTGAGGACAGGGATCATGTCTTCACTGAGGAATTCAATAACTTGACAAGGCCACATGGCTAATTAACAAAGGAGCCCAACTGTCTAGCTCCACCCCCAGGCCCTTTCCCTACTCCAGCCTCCCTGTCCTGACTCACTTTGAGCACTGCAGGTACATAGAGAGAGCCTGGAAATAGAGTAACAGTAACAGATAACACTATTTGCTAGGCACTGTGCTAAGTCCTTTATATGCCTTCACTCGTTTACTCTTTCAGCTCTCTTGAGGGAGACACAGTTTTACATGGAGAAGCCAAGTTGACTTGTCCAAGATGACTCTGCTAGCAACAGGCAGAGCCAGGTTTGAACCCAGGCAGTCTGACCCTCCAGTCTGGGTTTGAGGAGGGGCCGCCCCTCGTGGCTTTGGCCATAGACATGCTCTCACTGCTACCTCAGTTGCCACCTCTCCCACACCAGCTTTGGTCTCTTCCTTCGATTTCCTTCTTTTTAAATGTCTGCCAGCTTTACTAGGAGGGGGCAGAGTCAGGATTGACCCCAGCGATGTCTGTGTAACTCCAGAGCCGCATTAAGCTATTCTGTCTCCTACTCTTGTGACATTTGCCTGTCAGCCACTGTGCCATGAGAGATGTAACAATGAGTCAGGATGAGGCGGTCACATCCCGTGGGCCTGGTGGAGAGGGTGTCCAGGCCCCAAGAGACTTACTTGTCAGCAACCAGAAATCTTGAATTGCCAACTCAAGTAGGAACCTTCTGAGTGACCCAGAGCACATCCATTCCCCTTTGGGCTCTCTCTCTGCATTGTAGGGAAATTAGAGTGGCTGACTCCATGTAACTGCCCTGAAAATCTTCCAGAATCTGCCCTGAGAGTTACTGGAGAGAGTCCATCACATCCTGGATGATGTGCCTGTGTATCTATGGCAATGGAATAGCTGGTCATGTTGTCCTTAGGGTATGTTAGCTCAGCCTGGGCCACTGGGCCTTCCAGGGAAATTGAAATAAACAACTTCTATAAATGCCCTAGGAAACCAGCAAAACAGCTTCTCCCTCTGTCCCAGCTTGATCTGCATCTCTTCATCTGTTGGTTTCTTCCTTTCACATTCCCTTGGTGCCTGGCATGGACCTGGAGTCTGAAATGGCCTGAAATCTCATAGTTACAACTGGGTCCAGGGCCTGCGGCGTGCTGAGACTTGGCCTTCCTGAGCCCTGGAGCTCCTCAGCCCCCATCATCTTGGGTCCCCTCACCCTTTGGGCCAGCCAGTTCATCAGCCCAGGTCATACTGTTAGCAGCTGCTCATTTTGAACTTTTACTGTATGTCAGTCTGTGTGCCAGGTACTTACACACATTATCTCATTTTATCCTCATATGCCCATTGTGAGGAAACTGAGATTCAGAGATATTTTACAGATCGGCTAGGGTCACACTGTAAGGAAGTGGCTGAGCTGAGATTTGAAACCTGGGTCTTTCTGAATTTAACTTCTCTTCTGTACTTGTAATGACTGTACTGGAAGGGGCTCCCCCTGCCAGACTCGTGTGGTCTGGGAGAGCAGCGTACTTTAGAGTGTGCTTCCGGGATCTGGACATCCTGGGGTTGTGCAGCCACAGGCAAGTTGATCAAACATACAGCTCCTTCCTTATGATGGGGATGGAGGTAATAAGTCCTACCTCTAAGGCCATCATCAGGATTAAATGAGCTAATACATGCAGAGCACGGTGTCCAGGCCTGCCTAACACATAGTGAGCACTCATTACTATTGCTTCTCTTTAAGCGCCCTCACAGGGTTTGCTACAGGAGCTCCTCCACCGTCCTCATGCAGGGCAAGCTCAACTGTCAGCTCCTGTTGGGATTTCCCAGCTGCTGATTCAGTGAGATTGTGTGAGTTTACTGCAGTTATCACAGGAGTGGCTCAAAGCACAGTGGTCCACTTGAGCCCCAGTGCTCTACTCCCAGCAAGCCCTGCTCCAGGCCCTTTGGGTAAGACCCAGGTGTGTCGCAGTAGAGCATGTCTGACACCCAGCACAGTACCTTGAGCCATCAAGCACCTGGCAAGTTTGAAGGAAGCTGGGGACCAGCCGGGCTGTGCTGCTGTCCTTCCTCAGCACAGACATGTCCTGGATCACTACTGTGGTCCAGATGCCTGGTTTCCCAGGCACTGTACCCTAGGCATGACTGAGGGGTTAGGAACTGATTTTATGCCTATAATAAATGGTCACAGGGGACATCTGCCGGAGATTTGGGCCCTTCCTTATTGAGTCAGCAAGAAACAAGGACTTGAGTTTGAATAACCATGACCCTGTCTGAGGGTGATAGTTAATACCCCATATAGACTCCAGACACTGAAGTAGGACATTTGACATGACCAGCCATTTGAAAGATGTAAAAAAATAGCAAGTAGTGAGCACAGCAGATGTTTATTCTGAGTCTCTCACCATCCCTGGTCCTCTGGGGCAAACTCATTGCCCTTGTTCCTCTTCACAGCTAAGCCAAGGCTTCCAGGAAGTCTGCCAGACCAATCCCGGCTAAATCAGATGGTCCTGCTGAGTGGGGTCTTCATTGCAGAGCGCTTCACCCACTTCTGCACTCAACAGAAGATATTTGCTGAATGCACTACTTTGGGATTTTAAAAACCTGAAGTGTTAATAGTTTGTTTTTATACTGAGTTTAAATTACCTGTACCTTGCCAACTCCTGAGAACTGTGGATCCTAAGCAAGCAGGCGACTATCCCACTAACCCCCGACAGGCCCAAGTCAGGGAAGGAGCTAGTGGCTTTGCTGGGAGAAGCAGCGTGTGGGATGCGGGGAGCCCTGGCTTCTCCCAGGGCCAGGCAGTGGCCTTGCTGGAGCAGGAGCCCTGAACGGTTTCCTTCCCTTGCACAGCCCTGATCGAGTCTCTCAACCAGAAACCACAGTCTGCCAGTGACCAACCCCAACCCACAGACGCAACCCGTACGACCCATAGGAAAGCAGGTGGAGCCGATGCCCCCTCGGCCAATGGTGAAGCTGGAGGAGGAGAGAGCACCAAAGGCTACACTGCGGAACAAGTAGCAGCGGTGAAAAGGTAGAGGGCTGGGCCAGAGCTGGTGCTGCTGGGAAGTTTTCAAGTCTAGAGAAGGCCTCCCACAACGCGTCCTCCAGCTCACATCTGCTGTGGTCTGGATGGGCCCTGGGATGCTCTTGAAGATGGAGATGGTCCAAGTGATAGGGCTTATCGTACCTTCTCCTTGTGTCCCACCACGCCCTGGAATAGTGTGGGAGTCAGGGCTCCACGGGCCCCTCCCGCCAAGACAACCCACAGCAGAGGCTGGAAATGCTGACACCGCCTGCTTCCTCCACTGCTGGCTGGACAGGCCCCACCCTCTTCACACAGCTCTGTTTGTCAGGCAGAGACGGAGCCTGGTCTCCCCCTCCAGATTCTCCCCCAACCCACACCCCCACCCCCAACAAAGACCCTTTGAAAGCAGAGTATGTGGGGGACAGAGTGGAGACAGGAGACAGTTATCCCTCCAAGGCTTGGGCAGGCCCTGCACCGAACAGCTCACTACCAGGCTGATCAGTGCAGATGGCTTCTCAGGAGAAATCTTGGCTGTCATTTCTCCCCTAGTCTCCCCACCAGCTTGCCTCAGGAATCCCGCCAAGGTCATCCCCACATGACTGCTAGTGGAGACACTAGCAAGCTTCAGGACTGGGGTTCAGCCTGTGTGTGTGACCTAGCATGACTAATTTGCCATAAAAGCATGAGCCAAATTGGCATTTTTCTGACCAGACAGGGTTTTGACCAGACAAGCCCATTAGTCGTAGGCAATAGAAACTGATTGTGGGGACTGGGAAAGCCTGGAAAAGGCCAAGAATCAGGAGGTCTTCAAGGCCCTGTGATGGGGTGAGCAGACACCTGCCGTTTCTGGCCTTTTGTTACTACTCAAGACTCAGATTGCCAGGAGCAATCTGACTCCAGCTGGCCGAGCTTAGGACACACCTGCCCTTGGGCAGAGGTCCCTGCTTGACAGACATTGACAGTCCTTCTGAGGTTGCCTCTAGTGAGGGTGCTGTTGGCAAAGGGAAACGGTTCCTGGCCTGGCGAAAACAGCAGCAGCCCCGTCTTAAATCCTACATATATTCTTGGTTTTTCCACTGGGCCCTGCCGAGCTCCCCGTCCCAGTCAGACCTTATTGAGGTTCCCTTGTCCCCAGCGTCTGACAGCTGACCTGGAGGAGCTGTCAGCCATGCCCTGCTGGTCCCCTTGAGCCTGCTCAGAGCTGTGCCCACGCTGCTTGTTCCTTGCCCACCTCGCCTCACCGCCCGGGGCCCATGGAGAGCTTCCCCACCACGCTCTTCTCTCTCCCCCAGGGTCAAGCAATGTAAAGATTACTACGAGATCCTGGGAGTGAGCAGAGGGGCCTCAGATGAGGACCTGAAGAAGGCCTACCGCAAACTGGCCCTCAAATTCCACCCAGACAAGAACCACGCACCTGGCGCCACTGAAGCTTTCAAAGGTGAGCCAGCCCTAGTTTCCCAGTGTTTTGGTGTTTTTGTCTCTTGTCCTTGGGAAGGAATAAGGGGCCAAGATAGCTTTTCCAGGAGGTGGCCTTGGACCCAAGTCCCATGGGCTCAGGACCTGCTTCCTAGGAATAAGGTCCTAGTAGCCACCCCTAACCATACAGAGTCTGTTAGAGCTCAGATAATGCTACTTCTGCCTCCCCTTCCTCCTTCCTCCTTCCTCCTTGTTCCCCAGGGATTACAAGAAGGGAGCTGAGGTGAGAGAAGACCGACGGCTTCTCCAGTGTCACACAGTGATTGGAGGTCAGAAGCAGGCCTCCTGATCACCCATATGCACTTCCCCATCTTGGGATCTCAGTAACAGTTTTCCTGTGCTGAGGGGCAGGGCAGCCCCAGGTCAGTGGCCTCTGGTCTGGTGGGTTCCTCCGCAGCAGAAGCCATTGCCAACCCTACCTAAACCCACACTCACACACCACTCAAACACACACACCACGCACACACACACATTCACACATTCCATCACCCCACACACTCACATGTAACACAAACACATGCAACACACACTCACACATCATACACATAAATACACCACCAGGGCCTGCAGTGGGGGGCATGGCAGTCTCTCTGGCCTTAGGATCCACTGGTTCTGGGATGGGTGCTTCAGTTCTGGGTGAAATCATAAGCTGCCCTTTAATCCTTTATATTTTCATTGACCCCATCAGGCATACGTGTTACCGACTCTGCCAGCTCGGTGTTGCTGGGCACTGTAATCCCACATTTCTCCCAGACATCTCTTCTCTTATGCCCACCTTGTACTCCTCGAGACCTTCAAAGTCTTAGGCTCACCTCCCTCTGAGACAGCATGGCGACTAGCCCCACCTGGTCCAGGAGGGGTGCTGTGTAGTACTGGGGCTGTGACCATAGCCAGGTGAGGAGCCTATGGCAGAGCAGACCCAAAGACCTGGTGTGCTGTCTCCCAGGGCTTGCGCCAGGTGCTCCATCCCAGGCTGCTTGGGGTTGGTCCTGCTTGGGGTGGTCTGCAGGCATCATCCCCGACTGCTGCCTGTCAGCCAGCCCCAGAGAGAAGGAGAATGGGAGTAGGGAGGCAAGGTGGCCATGGTTAGTGTTGCTCCACCTGACCTCTCCTACAGCCTATCCCAGCAGACACTGAGAAGCTGGATCTGGCCTTGGGGCCTGGTCAGAATGGGAGGAGGTCGGGGAGTCTCCTTATTCCCGGTGGTTGCAGGTTCTGAAGCAGATGCAGCTTAGACCCACTCTTTCAAGAGAGTGGGCCACTTAAGAAGGAGCAGGACACTGAGAAGGGCCCAGGTCCGGGGTCCTTGGAGGCACAGGCTTCCTACCTGGGGGCTCTAAAGGAAAGGCCCCGGGACCAGGCAGGGGAACATCAGCTGGGTCCTGGACCACATGGAGGCCAGGGCTCTCCAGGCCACACTACAGCACTGGAGCAATCTCAACTAAACACTGGGATTTGCCCTTCCCAGCAGTTCCTGCTGCTTTCCAGTTTACAACAAGGAAGCATACGTCTGTTCGGCCCCTCTGTCACACCATGACTTCAAGACTACACAGCCTCCAGAAAGGGATCCCCATCCCACTGGGCACCTCAAGAGAGAAGAATCAGGAGCGGGGGTTGGTGGTTTTCATGAAGTTAGAGAACAAACTTGAAGCAAGACACACCTGGGTTTGATCCATGGCTCTGCCACACCAGAGCTGTGTGATCTTACACTTAACCTCTCTGAGCCTCAATTTTCTCATTGGTAAAATGGAGATGGGGTTGCTGTTAGGAGCAAATAAGATAATGCCCGTAAAGTGCCTGGCGCATAGAAAAAGCTGGACCATTGTCACAAGGTGGAGAGTGAGGAGCCTGAGTCTTAACCCTCCACCCAGCCCAGGCTTCCCAGACTCACTTAGGGGTATTCCTGCATGCCCCCCTCCCCACACTCGCCCAACAACAGACTGCCCACTGACCCCAAGGACTCCTGCCGCCTAACACACCACTTAAGTATCCGGAGGAAGTGAGCTCTTGGCTGGATGGGAGCCTCCGCTTCACCCCCAGCATCTTCAGGCCTGACCTTTTGACCTCCTTTCCAGCCATTGGCACAGCGTATGCAGTACTTAGCAATCCAGAGAAAAGGAAGCAGTATGACCAGTTCGGTGATGACAAGAGCCAAGCAGCCCGGCACGGCCATGGGCATGGGGACTTCCACCGTGGCTTTGAGGCTGACATCTCCCCTGAAGACCTCTTCAACATGTTCTTTGGCGGTGGCTTTCCGTCTAGTAAGTTCGCCCGCTCTCCCCACAGCCATGTCTCCCTGGAGTGTGGTGGGAGACTGGAGTCAGCCTCTCTCTTTCCCAGCAGCCCCACTCCTGACTCAGTCCCTCTGACCTCCAGGTAATGTCCATGTCTACAGCAACGGCCGCATGCGCTATACCTACCAGCAAAGGCAGGACCGCAGGGAGAACCAGGGTGACGTGAGTGAGGAAGGCACTGGGGAGAGCACGGGGAGGGTGCCCGGCCCCACCCCAGGGTGCAGGGCTACTGGAGGTGGGAGTGACATCCCCAGCTATCTATCCTGGAACGAGCAGTGCCCGATAGCTCTCAGCCAGGGAGAGCGCCCTTGCCATTCTGCTGAGCGACACCAGAGGGAGCCACACTCCACATTGCCCACAGGAAGGTGTGGCGATTAGATGGTCTCTGCTGGGAAATACATTGCAGAAGCTTCTCCACTAAAGACAGGTTCCCGTGTGAATGGCCTTTATGCAATCCATTTGTTCATAAGGCCAGAGTGACATCTTCCAAGCGATGGACAGTGAAACTTCATGGGAGAATTGTAAAGGATGACAACATAGGTGCTGACTCTTCTTCTTTTCTGCGTTCTTAAAATCTGTTTACAAAAGCTATAACAAAACAATGTTTGAACACATGTTGAATGCCACAGATTAAAGAACAGCCAGCTGGCTAAAATTAAAATACTGTAGACAACTGCGGAGCATTTAAAATTATGGCAGACGGAGGGATTCCCTCCTGCTCTAACAGTGTGGCCTTCTGTTTTTATTCATTTTTTAAAACTTTTATTTTGTGGGTATTTAACATACAGAAGAGTTTTTTTAATCGCAAATTATAACACAGTGAATAAATTTCTTTTCATTTATAATTTTTTAACCTGGCAGTTTTTAAGTTGGTGACATACTTGTATGGTCCAAAACTCTAGAAGTTGTGTAGAGTGAAAGTTCCCTCCAGCCCCGTCCCCCAGGCTCCTGGAGGCAGCCACTTTTGCTCATTATTTTGGTCTTCTCTCACAAGTAAATGCATGTACCCACTTTCCTCCTGTATTTAACACCAATTGCTATTTTGTTTTTATCTGGGGAAGCTGGCAGGTGGAGGAGCTTCTGTATTTTGGGGACCTATGGGAGGGTAGGGGAGAGAAGGGTGTTATGGGCTGTTTAGGTGGCACCTGCCACACCCCCACCCAGGTCCAGCTTGAGTGACCATTGGCTCTTCTCTCCAGGGCGGGCTGGGGGTGTTTGTCCAGCTGATGCCCATCCTCATCCTGATCCTCGTGTCAGCTCTCAGCCAACTCATGGTCTCCAGTCCACCCTACAGTCTGAGCCCGAGGCCGTGAGTACCTTCAGCTGGGGGTGAGGCCAGTGGTGGGCAGATGGGGGCTCTGGAGTCTCAGCCCCCATCGGGGGCCTACCTTCCCATCCTGCAGTTTCTTGATCACATGCAGAAAACTGGATTAGAATCAAGAAAATATACTTCTCTGTTGAGCTGAAGTTCTTGATCTTTTTAGGAACACAGTCCCCTAAGAAAATGCAATGAAAACTGTAGATCTTTTCCCTAGAACACTGCACATGTACACAATTTTGCATATGATTTCACAGGCTTCATGATACTCGCCCCCCCATCTTCTCTGCTTACCTTGGGACATGAACTTCTGCTCCCCTGTTCTGGTTGGAGGCCCTGGGGCCATAGAGCAGGGGCTCTAGAGTCAGACAGAGCAAGGGTGACTTTGAATCCCAGCTCCTCTACTATCTAAGCCGCTGTGTGACCCTGGACAAGTTACATAACTTCTCTGAGCATTGGTTTCCTCATCTATAAAATGGGAATAACAACATCTACTTGCTTGTGAAAATTAAATGAGTAATACACATAAAATGCTAGGCTCATTAGAAATTGTCAACAATGTTTGTTGAATGAATATATGGTCTCAACTGCCAATAGTGAACTTGGGCAAGTTATTTGGCCTTTTACAGTGTCAGCTCCTCTCATTTGTTTCCAGCACCTGGCACAGCATCTGATACATAGTGGGTGTTTGGCTTCTGTTGGTGGTAGAAGCCCTCTGCTGCCACCAAGCTGCCTGGCTCTGGCTGGGAGCCTGGCAGCATCCCTCTCAGCCAGCAGGGGACAGAGTCCATCGACCGGCCCCACACCAGCCGGCGCAGGCTCTCTGTGGCCTGATGCCAGCCCTTTTCTCTGCAGCTGGAGAGATGAGAGGGAGCTCTGGGCAGGCAGGGGCTATCTCCCCAGAGCACTGACTCCTGTCTGTGTGTTGAGGCTCTTCCCACAGCCTGCGGAGCCTGCGATTGGAGCTGGCAGATAGAATCCAAGAGCCAAAAGGATACAATTCCTTGGAATCCTTCCTGTCATTTTGTTCCTAAGCCTCTAACTCAAGACTGGGAGTTCCTGGATAGGCAGCCAGGCCCTCAGCCATGATTGCCTTGGGGCATGAATGAGGAACGGGAGGCCCAGGGAGCTCAAGTCCCTCAGCTCATCAGAGGCAGAGCCCAGACCCACTCCAGGCTCCCTTCTTCCCTGGCCAGGGCCTCTCAGAAAGGGGCTTCTCCCCGTGGGCCCAGGGTAACAGTGTGGTCAGCAGAGAGCCTGAGGAAGGGCTTGCCATAGTCTGGCCACTCGTACGGGAGGTACACTGTGCCTTTTCTCAAGACCCTCACTTCGGGTAGTGTGCGAGTTCCTGCTCTAGTTTGGGAGGGAATCAGTTCCTCCTGTGACCTGTATGGCACTTCCTGTCGGGGCCCATCATCCCCCTGGGCCTGGGGACCTGTGCCCACTTTGTGCCTGGTGAATTTCTGGCCAGGTCGGTGGGCCACATCCACAAGCGAGTCACTGACCACCTGAAGGTAATCTACTACGTGGCAGACACCTTCTCTGAGGAGTACACAGGCTCCAGCCTCAAGACGGTTGAACGGAATGTGGAAGATGATTATATCGCCAACCTCCGAAACAACTGCTGGAAGGAGAAGCAGCAGAGTGAGTGTGTGTATTGGGGACAAAGCTTGAGAGCAGGGAGAGAGAAAGCCCTGTTCACCCAGTGATTTGCGGGCCCAGCACCTGGCACTGCCCTGTGCCAGCCACCTCCCAGCCAAGAGCTGGACTCACCCCTGTTTCCCGGGAACTAGGAGCCAGGGCACCTGGGGATTTCCTCCAGGTTCCCCTAAATCACTGTAGTCAGCCTGTCGTTCGGCTGCCAGAGGTGAGTATGTAGAGAGAGACTGGAGCAGATCTCCTGGCCACCCACTGATTGGGCATCCAGCTCTATCTGTGGGACTCCGGGGAGGTCTGACCAGGAGGACAGGTCTCACCTTGGCTGGCCTCACCTACACTCTACAGAAAGGGGCCTCTATCCCTCTCCTAGGTTGGGACCATAGTCTTTGCTCCTCCAGTCTTCTCTAAAGGGAAGCCAGCTCTGCCCCAGCTCCTAGGCCTGTAACTGCCCTCCACCTCTCCCCACCAGCCAGCCAGGCAGCTTAGCGGCCTTTGGGATATGCCCTAACCCTGCCCCATTGTTTTGCAGAGGAAGGCTTGCTGTACCGGGCCCGCTACTTCGGCGACACAGATATGTACCACAAAGCACAGAAGATGGGCACCCCGAGCTGTAACCGACTATCAGAGGTGCAGGCCTCCCTACATGGATAGTCCTGGGCCAGCCACACCACCGAGGTCCAAGTATGAGCCAGGGCCTCCTCTGCCCTGCAACTCCTGGCAGTTCTGGCCCTAGTCATGAGGCAGAGGAGGGTGGGAGGGAGAGAAGGAGGGAGTCTAGTGATTATGGCACAGAATCCTTGTCCCCAGGCTGACCTCCAGCCTGCAGGGTGACAGCAGCTCTGGGATGTGCTTGGAAACCAAGGTCTGATTCAGCCCTCCAGTGCTGCTCTCCACCCATTCTTGCCCTTCTCCTTGGCTGTGCGGCTGTGGTACCCAAGAGCCAGGCAGAAAGGGGAACCAAGGCTGCTGCTAAGAGCCGCTCGTGCCTCCTTGCTGTACTCCAGCCATCAAGTCACTGCAGAATATTGTCTGTGCCCTGGTATTTAGGCCACCAAATATTGCTGGGCCCAAGATAGTTCCCACACATGCTCCCTGCCCAACACGAGGAAGAACTATGTGGAAATGGGTGAGCTAAGAGCCCTTCTAGGCAGGAGGAAGTGGAACAAGATGGATGGGCAGCCCAGCAATGGGCAGGGGGGGCCTGTGCACCCTGACCAGAGCCCCCTGGTGGGATCAGAAGCACTCTCTCCAATCTACTGCACCTGGCAGCCTGGAAGTCAGAGGCATCCCGCCTGTGGTCTGAGGAAGGGCACAGAAGGTCCTGAGTTCAGGATCCAACCCGGAGCCCTCAGCACAGAAGGGATGGGGAAAAATTGAAAGTTGCTGGTGGCAGTCTCCCTACCTCCTTTACCCCTGCACGTGGGTAGGTGGGCTCAGTTCCCAGCATTTGCCGGAGGGGACAGCTTGGACCAAGCCCAGAGGAGTGTTTGGCAGAGCCCGTCAAGCTTCTTTTTTGTGTTGGTACCCTGCCCACCCTTCCTTTGCCTGTGTCCCCTCATCACGGATCCAGCCACAGACTCTGCTTTGAGGCCATTTGTAGCGCCTCCAGGAGAGTGAACCCGACTGCAGGAGGGAGACTAGGTGGGGCTGAGGCGGGCAGGACAGGGTGAGGAAGTTTGCTTGTTTGGGTGGGCTAAACTGGAGGCTCCGGGCCCATGATCGTTGAGCTAACTGTTACCACTCTCCTCCCCAGACCATGAAATCCCTGGAGAATTTTTGGTGACATGCGCTGAGCCAAGGTGATGGACTGGATATTTAAGGAAAGACATAAAAAGAAAAAAAATTAAAATGGATTGGAGGCCGAACGACACACAACTGCCCTCTCTCTCGCCCAGTAAAAGCAGAAAGCTCTTAGGACACAGACAGGAAAACCTGCCCTGGGGCTGCTTCCCCTCCTCCCAGGCTGGCAGAGGCTCAGGCTTCACACTGGCTCTCTCCTAGGATACAGAAACCATGGCAACGAAAGTAGAATGTAAAACTTGCAGCAAACGTCTGTGGGAAGGGCTGGAGGAGGGGGCACCCAACTGCCTTTCTTCTTCCTCCCAGGAGCCACCACCAGTCACCTCTCAGTGGAAGGCAGTTAGAGGCGCGCTGGCCAAGGATAGAGAGGAGGAGGAGGAAAGACAAGTCTCCATAGAATGTAATTTATAGATGCATGTGTATGTATATATATATCTATTTATATGTAAATAGCATATATAAAGAGATATATATATATATATAGTCTACTTTTTAAACTATGCAGGGATTTGTTTAAGTTGTTTAGCTGATTTCTTCCCTGTTTTAAAAAACGTGGCCTGTTTGAGGAAGGCAACCTGGTCCTTCAAAGACAAGACTTGAGCTGTAGCTGACAGTGGAAGGAAAGTCGGGTCATAGCTTTTAAAGTCCCCCTCAACCCAAGCCTGTTTTTGATGGCAGCAGTAATCATGATAATGTAAATCTGTGGAAAACCTTTGATTGAGTGGCCAGGTTTGTGTTTGAGCTGGAGGGGAGTGGGCTGTGGGGCGAGAAAGTGCCCCAGGGCCAGGTCAGCTCTGAGCCTTGGCAGAGGCCGCAGACAGCCTGCAGAGGGGAGACCACCCACCTCAAGCTTTGCCCAGCTCAGGTGGGCTCTTTGTCCTGGTGCCCAGGAGCCCTGTGACCCCCTGCCACAAAGAACAGCAGGGTTGGAGAGGGCGGCCATGTTCAGCCTGACCACCTCCCCACCTTAGTCCCTAAGTCAGTTTTGCCTTATAGGTGCCACAGGGCACAACTCCATTGTTGCCACTGGTTTTTCCTAAGTCGTGCACCAAGGACTCTAGAAGGCTCTTCCTCCAAGAGTCAACCGGGTGGTGCCCAGGACCCCAGGGCAGCAGCCGACTTGGGAAGAAAGTCCGTGCCTGTGGGCACCTGTCTTCACCCCTCATGGACTTGATGCCACCCAGCCTTCTCTTGCGTGTGGACAAAGGAGGCACCTGAACCAGAAGAGTTTTCTTATCCTCACCTTCAAATGAGGATTTTTCTCAAAACAGCAGTTGCTGTCGGGGGAGGGGAGGGAGGTTTTATTTATTCCCACAGTTTATACTGAGCCTTTTGGAATTACCGTCTTTCCCAAATTTTCCTCTGGTGGTGGGTGTCATTGAGCCTGCCACCTTCCAAAGCCTTACTTCCCCAAGCTGCCAGGCAGGAGGTGATCACCATCCTCCCAAAGTCTCTCTTGGCTCTTTCTTTTAAAAGTCCCCCCACAAATAGGATTCTTGCTGGGAAGGAAAGCTTTGTAAAGAAATGTCAAATCTGGTTTTTTGAACAAGGTCCTGCCCTGTGATGAAGCGGCCACCCCATCCCAGAGAGATGACAAGAACTGGACATGGGCAAGAGTGCCCCACCCACGGTGGCCCTGGCGCTCTGCCTCCACCACCCCAACCGTCTGGTCTCGGTTGATGTCCCTAGACGGGCTGAGCCATGTGCAATAAGAACATAGATCCTAAAGGATCCCCTGAGAAGCTGTATTTCGTGAATTAGAATTCTGAAATTGTACATCTATAAATATGTTTATTATGTGATTGGCTGTGGTGGGTCTTCACTGAGCAAGGGGGCTGGGTGGGCACAAGCACCTGTTGCTGCTGACACTGTCCAGCCTGTGCCACAAGGAGCTTTTGGCAAGAAGCCTGAATGTTCCTCTCACCCCTTGTCCCCGCTGACAGCCACTTAGGCCACAAGTGTTCCAAGGCTGACTATCCAGGCAAAGGGTCAGGGGCTTGGGTGGCTGTAGGGGTGCAAGGCCCAATTAGGCCAGGACGATGGGGTCCCTGACACCAGTCCTAGGAGCTAACCCCAGCCATGATCACCAACCTCTCCTTCCCCCGTCCCTGCTCCTTCCCTCCATCCCATGAGGCCTGCTGTGAGCAAAAGGATTCAGAATCTCCCCTCTCCCCAGCCTGGAGCTCAAGCCCACTCCAAGTCCAGAGCAAGGGAAAAGTTCTCTGAGTTTCTTTCCATCACTGGCTGCACAGTCTTGCCAGCCATCCTCCCCACACTGCCCCCACAGCCAGCCCTCCTCTCCCAGGAGATTGGAAAAGTTCAAAATGTGGCAGCTCAAGTAGAGCTTCCCGTGAATGGAGCTGCAGATCTGCCGGGGCCTCCCAGAGACAGGGCCCGGCGGCCCTGACTGGCGGCCTGAGGCCCCTCCCGCTGCTGCTCCAGCCAAAGACAGGCGGGCTGCCCGGTGGTGCCACCGCAGCCTGGGAGCTCATTGGCTGCCCCCGCCCAGGGTCACCACAGCCTGCCCTGCCTGGTCAGCTAGCCGCCACTTGTTAGCTGCAGTTGGCAGAGGCGTCACCAGCCACCCCCATTTACCCACCCCATCCCCCTGCCCTCAGTGTGTGGCTCAGTGAGCCAGAAGGGGCGGGACAGACTCCATGCAATTGTTTGCAGCAAAAAAGAGCCTTTGAGAAATGTCCCCACCCACTGTCAAGTGGCAAAACGAGCCACTGGTCCATCCAAGCTCCCTGGCAACTAATCTCCTCGTCCCAGGCTGCCCCCAGGTCTCCCGAGGGGAACTCTAGAGGGCAAGGAGCACACACCCCAGCCCGACTATAACATCCCCACCCTGAGCCGCCTGGGCAAAGTCACCTGGCTGTCTAGGGCAGGCACACAGCAGTGCCAAGTCTCGGGTAATAGGCTGTTGACACAGCATCAGTCTGGAGCAACTCAGAATTCCTTACCAGATGTCACATCCTGTGATTTGAGCAAGTCAGCCCATTTCCCAGAGCAGGCAGCTGAGGCTTGGGGGAGGGAAGGCGATGCTCAAGAGTCTCCATGAAGCTGTGCATGTCTTTGGGGTCTCTGTAGTAAAGCAATCATTCTGCAAACATTTGCTGAACCCAGATTCACTGTCCTCAAGGAGATCAAACCTACTCATGCTGAGTGGATTGGTGGGAGACCTGAGCCCAGAAGGGGGAAGGGGGGAGACGCCACGCAAAGGTAAAGGGACTTAATCTGAGAGGCTTGAGCTGGGTGCGCTTTGTCTCCCGGCAATGACAAAGGTGTCCACGGGCTGTGCGGGGCAACTTCCCTGAGTTGGCATCACTCCCAAGAGGCGGCACAGGAGATCAGCGTGGACCCCACAGTCCAGCTGCCCAGGCCGGATCCTGGCTCAGCCATTTACCGGCTGGGTGGCCTTGGGAGTGTCACTTAACCTCCCTCTGCCTCAGTGTTCTCATTTTCAAAATAAGAGTAAAAAACTACCCACCTTCTTGGGTTATTGTGAGGAGGAAAAAGGTTATCACATACACAGCACTAACAATGGTGTCTCATACATAGGAAGCTCTATTTAAGTGTTGTTATTCATCCTTAGTCGACAAAGATTAACTGAGCACCAACTGTCAAATCCCCTGCCAGGAGCTGAAACCACAAAGGTGACTGAGACTTGGCCTGCCCTGAGGAACTGTGGGGAGCCCGTGGGTAAGCCAGAGATCAACAGACCCCAGGTGGGCAGAGGAGGTAGGAACGTGGGCAGGGCTGCGGATGGAGCGGGTACTCTGGCCAGAGCGGACAGTGTGAGCAAGTCCTGGAGCTGGGAAAGTACTGAAGTGACCGGGTTCAGGGAACAGTACATAGGCCAGGCCCCCAATCTCTGATTATCATCTTGCCAGTCACACCCAATAGCATTAGACAAAGAACTTCACTGGGAATGAATGAAGGAGAGACCTTCCATTTCTCTAATCCTGACTGTCCCCTGTCCACTCAGTTATGCATTCAGCAAGCATCTGTGAGCTTTCTTGGTGCTGGGCCCTGCCCTCAGGGAAGACAACAGGAACAGGCAACCATGTAGAGCCAGTGGGCAGGAGGTGAGGGAGGGAGTAGGGGCAGAGACTGGCAAAGCTGGGGGCCTAGGTTGTGGCATTCCCACCATCACCCCTTCTCCCCAGACTCTTATGGAAGGGTGTTTCCCTAGGAACAAGGCCCAGGCCTCCTGTCACTTCCATAGCCTCACAGCTGTTTGGGCAGGAAATAAAGTTCCAGGGCCCACACAGGACAATGGATGTAAAAGGCAGTCTCTAGGATCCCATGGCCAAGCAGCCCTCCCAGAGCCCAAGAGTTGGGGCTTTGCTTGGAAGAAGAGGGGGGGTCTGACTGCCATACCTTGTCCATGCCCCCCCACCACTCCCCTTTTTCTGATGGACACAGTGCCGAGAGAAAGATGTCTGAGCAGCACAGGAGGATGCTGGTGGTCTCTTTTTAGAGATGGGGAAAGTGGAGGTTAGAGGGACGAAGTGAGGTCCTTTTCTTGGCTCCATGTGGCCTGCAGGGCCCTCACACTCTGACTCTGCTCCAGTGAAGCCACTTCTCCCGACCCATCCCCAACATGCTGTCGTCTCCTCCAGCCCACAGCCTCCTCGCTGTGCCTCCACCCTCCACCTCCAGGAGGCCTGCCCACGTTCCCTCAGCCTGACCCTGCCCTCTTACGTGGTAATTCTGGAGGTGTTCGTGCAGTTCTTGGACAAAGGCTTCCCACCCTGGAATGGCAAGGGCCTGCCTGGGTCCTGTCTGTCACCTTCAGTGCTGCAGCCACAGGACCTGGACACAGTCGGGCCTCCATGAACAGTGCTGAAGGAAGAGATGTGCTCCCTCAGCACTGAGACTCCTTTCTGATGGTCACTTGTGGCTGTCCCTCTGCAGCTATTTCTGCCTCACCAACCCCACCCAGGGTGGTCCTGAAGGTAGCTTTGCAGTCACAAACCCACATACAGGACTAGGGCCACTTCTTCCAGACTGAGAGGGCTCAAGTGAGGGTGCCCATCTGAGAAGAAGGACCAGCATCCAGCTGAACATTGGGGGAGGTAACAAGTCTCCTGTGGGATAAGCACTGAGTGGGGCCTTTTCCCTTTTCTCCACCTCCTGGGGGAGGTAGAGTCCTGCTAAAAATGCCCCATGTCTCCTCTCCCTGAGGGAGGGCAGGTATAGCAGGGGCTCGTATGAGAATCATAAACAGTGCTCATCCTTGAGGGGACCTCTGACCCCTATCGGAAGCGGTCGTCAACCCCCATAGGTAGAAGAGGATGCTCTCTCCAGCACTCAGGCCTATGCCAGGTGGCACTACCCACTCCTGGACTCAAAGCAGTCCTGTTCCTTGGCTGCCCCAGTGCTGCCCTGGCCACAGGTCCCAGGGTTACCTCTGGCAGGCTTTGCTGCTTGCTGGCCTCCAGCCCGTGGCCCTGGCTGCTGACGACGGCCTCCTGGACCCCACACGCCAGACAACCTCCCATCACCACCACAAGACTCCAAGTGCCACATGAGCAGCACCTGTTTCAGTGGCATTCGGGCTTGAGCCCCATGCTTCGTGTGGTACCCAGTGGTGCTCAGAACCGCTTCTCTTCTGATGGCCAAGGACCACAGTCTGCCGCTGGTCCCTTCTCAGCATGAAAGCACTGGACACAAAGTCCATGGATCACATTGCAAGCCTCAGCTCTAAAGGACATTTGTATCATTTTTCATTTGTATCATTCAAAAATTTTTGTTTTATTATAATTATCGTCATCCCACAGACATCACCAGTTTGGCCTTAATGTCAGCCTCTGTCAACCATGGAGTCTCTAGGCTGCTAGGCTGACCCGGGCAGGCTGTGTACAAGCAGGGCAACCTGGGGGCTGAGGTCCCTCCAGAGCCAGCCTCACTCCATTACTCCAGGACTCACTAGAAGCCGGCTCCCCGACAGCCTGGAGTTCATGCAGTGGAGGGTTGGATTTGGGCCATGGGATGGAGTTGCGTGACCCACATCTGTTCATGTTATTAGCTCTGGAGCCTGCGAGCCGTGGCTGTAACACGATTCGAGGAACTGTTGACTCACTCAGCTCGTGTTTCCAGCCCAGTGGCTGGGAGGGATGTGTGGAGCAGGGATCACGGGCCTCTGGCCCCTCCTGCCCCAGCGCCTGTCATGAGAGCCAGAGAAGACTACACGAACACTGCACGTCCCTCCAGGGTGCTGCTGATGTCAACGTGGGAACAGGGGCCTCCAGAAGGCCCTTCGGTGACCCTGGCTCAGCTGCCTGGCCACTGGCATCCTCCCGTACCTGTTTGTGCAGTCCCAGCTTCTGAGGACCTGGCCTCCCCCTCCTCTCCCAGCCTCCCCTCCCGCTCCCTAACCCCTGGCTGACTGAAGCAGGCAAGGTGATGCAAGGTGAAGAGGCAAGGCCTCTCTGGCCAGCTGGGAAGAATGACTGCCCTAGACCCCAAGGCTGAGGAAGAAAGTTTTCCCTCTTTCCTGCCTTCTTCATCAATTCCTACACCCTCTTTCCGTCGTTGGTGCCTATGGGTACCAGCACCCCAGGGATAAGCTAGGGAAAGTCTGAGACTTGTCCAGGTGCCCCCGATTGTGACTCCAAGAAAGGACCAGTGTTGCTGGCTAGGTGCCGAGCTCTGCCCCCACAGGTGGGGGACCTCAAGCCAGTCTCTAAGATCCCCGAGCCCCTTTCCTCTCTGTCAAAGGGGAATCTCAGCCCTGTCCTTCAGGCTGTTGGGGGCACATGAGATGAGGTATGTGGAAGAACTTCACAAGCCCAGA